CGATTCTGGTCAAGGGCACGTACTTTGGTTGCAGGCTTCTCTCCAGCCCGGGCCCTGTTGGGGCACGTGCAGGAGGCAATCAATTGATGTGTTTCTCTCACATCAGTGTTTCTCTCTGTCTTTCCCTCTCTCTTCCACTCTCCCTAAGAAAATAAATCAATGGAAAAAAATGAGGGTTAACCAAAAAAGAAAAAAGAAAGAAAGATGATAGTTTTATGGGCTAAGGAGAAAAATAAAGAATTGAAGGGGAATAGGGAATGTCTGGGGAGGATTGCAATTTGAGATTAGAATTCGTCAGCAGACCAGACTGAGCTGCTAAAATTTCAACAAAGAGGTGATGGAAGTATGGATGAAAGTCAGTCAGATGTCTGGGGAACATGTTCTAGGCAGAAGGAACGGCTAGTGTAAAATCCTTGGTTTGGGAATGTTCCTGGAGTGTTCAAGGGTTAGGGTTAGGGTTAAGGGGTCATAATAGTAGGAGCACATAGTAGAAGATGAGGTCAGAGAGCAAAGGTGTCCAGATCATGTCAACCTTTTACTTAGAATGAGAGATGGAGAAGCTGTGGAGAGTTTTGAGAATAAGAGTGACATGATAAGCCTGTGTTTTGGCAGGATCAGAAGGGAGATCTAACAAGGGTAGAAGCCCAGTGAGACCAGTTAGGAGAGTATTGCAAAAATCCAAGTGAGAGAAGACAAGGCTTGGACTGAGTTGTTTATAGTGGAGATTCTCAGTAGTAATTGGATTCTTGCTATATGTATGTTTTTTAAAAAAATATATTTTTATTGCTTTCAGAGACGAAGGGAGAGGGCGAGAGAGATAGAAACATCAATGATGAGAGAGAATCATTGATTGGCTACTTCCTGAATGCCCCCAACTGGGGATTGAGCTGCAACTGGGGCATGTGCCTTTGACTGGAATTGAACCCGGGACCCTTCAGCCCGCAGGCCAACGCTCTATCCACTGAGCCAAACCACCCAGGGTGGATTCTTGCTATATTTTGAGGGTAGGGCCATCAGGATTTCTGGTATACTTTATGTCACATATGAGAGAAGAGAGTGACTAGTACCTGTTGTTGTACCTGTGCCTTAACCTTCTTTCTGTAAAATGTGGAAAATAATATTACCTACCTTAGTTACTGTGAGGATTAAAGCACTTTGAATAGTGTTTTGCACATGTCAAGTACTCTGTAAATGTTTACCTGCTATGATTAGTATCATTATCAATATTGTTTTTATTGAGGATATATATAGGATTGAGTACTTTTTCTTATTTTTGCATAGTGCCTCTTATCCAGAAAACCAAATAAATGAATTATTCACTGGATAATGAGTGAATGAAAAATATAATTGTGACCTTATTATATACACATTTTAGACTTTTAAAATTTTATTATTTTAATTCTCACTCCTCGATATGTTTTTTATTGATTTTAGAGAGATACAGAGGGAGACAGAGATACAAAAACATCAATCGGTTGCCTCCTATTCAAGCCCCAACTGGGCATTGAACCCAGCAATCTAGGTATGTCCCCTGACTGGGAATCGAATCTGCAACCTTTTGGTGTATGGGACCATTCTCCAACCAACTGAGCCAGGGCTTGCTTTTTTTTTTTTAAAAGCATTTTCGACTCAGTACAGTGGGGCTTGACTTACGAGTTTAATTCGTTCCGTGACGGAGCTCGTAACTCAAATTATTCGTATGTCAAATCAATTTTCACCATTACAATGACACGTGATGCTGGGCTGATGTTGTGGCGTTCACTGTCACGTTTGCTGTGCCAACTAGCGGTGGGGTATCTGAAGCTGGCTCGTAACCCAAATTTTAGCTCGCAACTCAAAGCAAAATAACCTCCGAGAGATGGCTCGTATCTCGAAAAACTCGTTAGTCGGGACACTCGTAAGTCAAGGCCCCACTGTATTGATAAGTTGACTTCTAACATTGTTTCTGAAATGGAGACACCAACACAAAACTGAAAACTGAAGGTAGTATAATTTTTTTCTTTTTCATATGTTTTTGCTCATTTAGAATTCACACATCAGGAAGTGTAGTTTTTCCAATTACTCCACCTATTCTTGAGCCTTTGCATTCCTTTATTTTGCAAATTAGTTTTCCAGTTTAGATTCAAGAATATGGCATGTACTCTGTGATAGGGCTTTTAAGGAACTTGTTTTTTCCTGCTATTTCCATTGACTTAACAGAGGGATTTTGGATTTATTTCTACAGTTCCCCAGAGTTCCTGGAAGCGTCTCCTTTCCCATTAACTTATTGATCGTCAGGGTAGGAGTCATCTTTGAGTCATGACTTCTGGCATTTGAATTCCAGATTCTGCTTCTTCCAAATGGAAGTAGTTGAGACCTTCTTGGACTTGAAGCTCCATGTTTTAGTAAAAGTGCTTTTAAATAGCTGGTAGCATCACTTTTCTTTTTAGCATCTGAGTGCTGCATTTTTTTTTTTTTTTAACCACTCAGAAACTCTGTTTATAGTCTTTATTTGATGGTTTATTGTAATTACTTTTGTTGATCAGTAGTTTTCTTGATACAGACCACATCACAATTGTAAATACAAAGCAACCACACATTTCAGCCTTATATAGTTTCACCTACTTAAGACAATCAATAAGAATGTGATGTTCCTTGACTTCTCTTTCCACATCTCTGTTTACTTGTGGATTGAAGTTTCCATTTGTATGTTTTAATTTTTGCCAAGAAAAATCAATCATGTGTACTGTAGCTCTGCTTTAAATTTTATGCCTCATATGACACAGAGTATATATAGTATATACATGTTAAATGGATAAACCTCTTTCTGTTAGGCTATCTTAGTTTAGTACCTGGGTTTTTACTGGTTACATGTACTTGATTGTTTTAGCTCAGATGAAGTTTTGTTTTTAATTGGTTGTTTTTAAGCCTAATAAAGTTTTCCTAGTGAATTTATTTTCTTATAAATTCTTTTATCATCCTTTAAAAAATGTTGCTATGACATTATGCTGTACTCTACACAAAATCATACATATTTAAATATTTTTATGTCACTTCCTATTGTTTCTTAGAGCAGATGATTTCTTTGGGAAAGTGGATTGAAAAGTGAGATCTGAAACAAGATGCTTTCATTTAAGAAGGACTAATTGAAAAAACCATCTGTTAAATAAAAAGAGCTCAATTTTCAATAGACTATTTTATAGAGCAGTTTTAGGTTCATAGCAAAATTGAGAGGATAGTGCCGATAGCATAGTTTCTGAGAAAAATAACATTATCTCTGGAGTATCTTTTAAAAATATATATATATTTTATTGATTTTTGCAGAGAGGAAGGGAGAGGGATAGAGAGTTAGAAACATCGATGAGAGAGAAACATCAATCAGCTGCCTCCTGCACACTCCCTACTGGGTATGTGCCCGAAACCAAGGTACATGCCCTTGACCGGAATTGAACCTGGGACCCTTGAGTCCGCAGGCCGATGCTCTATCCACTGAGCCAAACCGGTTAGGGCTCTCTGGAGTATCTTTAAAAAATTCTTATATTGTCTCTAAATTATAGATTACAATTTGGTGCTATAAAAACTGGTTAAACTCTATTTGAATATTTTTTTTGTCTGTTTCATTTAGAAAATGCCTCATTTTTTTTTCTCTCTGAAAGTTTTCCCTTAAAATAGATGCCACATAAGGTAGTTAGCAATTGAAGCTAACCTGAAATTTCTTGTTTTGCCTTTTATTGTTCATGAAATATTTTGTTTGTTTCTCTGTGTTTTTTTTTTTTTTCTTTTTTTACTTTGGCAAAGCATAGACTGAGTAGAGTGATGTGGGGGTTTTGATTTTAAATGGTTAATGAGACATGCCTCTAGAGGGCGATCTTTTCTAAACTTTCCTCTGATCTGATCATGGTAACCCTGGCATGAACCTGGTGTACTATGGATGGTGATGTCTTATGTTATAGTTACCCAGTTTCCTTCTTACTATGTTTTGTATGATGTATTCCTCAAAATCTTCTTAGAGAATTGGACTTTGAACTATATTACTATCAGTTAATAGCTATTTTTAGTACCCCATCCAGATACCTAGGTCCTCTGAATAAATTTAGGTAGTTGAACGGAGGCAAATTTTTTTAGTTAAGTAAGTATATGGTGTCTGCATGTCCTAAAAATTCCTTTCCCTGATTCTCTGTGTTGCTATTCTCTACTTTATGGGATCAGAGTGATTAAGCTCCACTATTGAGACATTATAAGGGCTTATAGTTAATCTCTGCTTCTCCTTTCTGTTAACATTTATTAGAATTTTATTGTTTTTGTTTACCTATTTAATATAATTTCATCAAAGCAATGTACACACTTATTATAAAAGAGAAATAATTCCACGAATTTATAATGAAAAACAGCCTGTCAGGTGTCATTCCCAGAGGCTCTTATGTCAACTCTGCATGGGGTCTTCCTTGCTGGTTTTCTTTATGCTTTTGCTCCTTTCGGGAAACATGTTAGTTGGAAGTGGATCTCCTACATTGAACCCCTAACTTTCTTTTCTATTTTCTATCACTTTGTCTTTTTGTTTCACTGTATGAGAGTGTCCCCAACTTGTTCTTTTAACCTTCTTATTGCATTTTTATCTCGGCAACATGTTTTTAATATTCTTTACTCTTAATGTTTCTTTAATTATCACATTCTTTTCTTATTTGACAGACACGTTATAGTTTATCTCTTTGAAGAGAGAGTAATAATTTTTAAAGCATATTTTGCTCCTTGTATTATCTCTATTTCCTCTGACTTCTTTTTCAAACTTTTTGTGGTTGTTAGGAGCATTATCTTCCATATTAGAGCAATGGTTCACAATTACATTTATAATTTACTCAGGTAGATTTTAAAAACTACTGATATCCAGGCCCAGTGTTAGACTGATTAAACCAAAATGTTGACCTGAATGTTGAGGAATCCTCGGCTGATCATTCTTATTTTTACTTTATTTTAAAATTTTATTATATGTTCATTTATTTCACGATTTTATTTTTATTCCCCTAATCAACAAACCTGTACTACCGAACTGATTGGAAGTTCTTTGAGCATGAGCAGGTCATACCAACTTGTAGGTCCCCCTGGTCTATCAGGTGGAACTGGCAATTTTATTAGAGTACTCCAATCGATACAATTTGTATTTAATTTGGCAGATCAGTTTCCCCATAAAGGAATCCTCTGTTTGGGATGGTTTTGGGATGCGGAGTCTTTCTGGTACTAAACTTAGAAGTTAGTGTTGAAGGAGTCATTTTAGTTTAGTGATTAGAATAATAAGAGGATTTGGTTTATCTGTTTGCATTTTACTATTGCCTTTCTTTTCCAGGGAGGACAGTTGTAATTAGGTTCCATTGAAATATTTTTCCCCAAAAAATTGATTTTAGAAAAATGAGAGGGAGCAGAGAATAAGAAATAGGCTTCTTCGTTAGGACACATAATGACCAGTGTCTGAATGACCCAAACAAACAGATTTAGAAGTGATCAGACTTGAGAGTAACTGCCTCGCGTAGTCGTGAACGTAAAACCTGAGCAGGAAATAAAAACCTGACTGTTGGCTTATGATTTGTAAGCCACAAAAGGGTAAGGAAAGTGGGGTCCGTGCTGTGCCAGGGTCACACATACTGAGAAATAGAAACTGTTATAGTTCTCACCATAATAGGTTCTTAGCATAAAATGACATGTAGAATTTGGAGGAGGATGAGAAAAGGAAAAGGAAGAGGATTTAAGGTTCATTGAAAAAGTTATTCACATTGGGGGATGTGTTTTTGCAGGTGAGATATTGAAGCTAGAATGAGGCACAAGAGTAAAACTGTCTCCGAGTGGATAGAGTGCCGTTAATGTGGGTGTTGTTGTTGGAAGTTTCAGGAGAGACAGGTCATTCCATCTGCAGGCTCCAGAACCGTCTCTCGTAGGGCGTGCTGAGGGAACGTTTGATAAGATTTCACTCTTGTCTAATTTTGGGGCGGATTGCAATGTATCCACATTTGATAAAATCATGGGCGAGATAAAATATGCAGCCACAACACTGATAAATGAATTTGGTTTTCTGGCAAAGGTTAAGAGAACGTGTTTCTGCCTCAGCAGAGGAATTCTAGGGAAGCAGAGCCAACACTTCAGGTGCCCACTGATCGTGGCAGCGCTCCTCTGTGATTCTCACTTGCACGGATTTCTACCAAAGGAGTTTTTTTTTTTTTTTTTATATATTTTATTGATTTTTTACAGAGAGGAAGGGAGAGAGATAGAGAGTCAGAAACATCGATGAGAGAGAAACATCGATCAGCTGCCTCCTGCACATCCCCCACCGGGGATGTGCCCGCAACCCAGGTACATGCCCTTGACCGGAATCGAACCTGGGACCCTTCAGTCCGCAGGCCGACGCTCTATCCACTGAGCCAAACCGGTTTCGGCTACCAAAGGAGTTTTTATGTACACTGGTGAGCTTCTGGTTTTGCTTTTGGAAAATCAGTTTAGGAAACAAGGACTTAAGTATTTATTGATATTATATGATGTGCTTTGATTTCTTTCTCCTTTTTTTAGTGAACAGTTCTCCTTCACAAATTTTTTGATAATTTAGGCAGCCAGATGGAGTATGGCTTTTCCTGTTTTCTTCAAGAGCAGAACGTGTAAGCATATTTTGGTAGAAAGATATTTAAAAGCTGGAAATAAATATATGTGAAGATGAAAGGTTTTATCTCCCCTGCTGTCCAAATTGCTGATGTGGCCCTTTTGCGCTGTACTCCCATCTTTGTACGGTTGTTAAAAATCTGCTGCTCTTTCCCATCTGAAGGAAATGCATCTTTGACACTTCTCATGACCTGAGTCATGATGCTGAACGAGAGCCAGAAAATATCCTTAACAGTCCTGGGTAAAAGAAGGAAGGCTTCCGTGGGGAGGGGCGGGGAGCATGAGGAGGGGGAGGGAGGCTGTGGGAAGAGCATTTTAGTGAAGCTGCTTACATTTCACTAGGATAGCTGTGATTCAACAGAAAATACTCTTGACTTTGATCTTTATTTTTTTCCCTTCAGTATACAATGCTTAATGTATCTGGAAAACACAAATTCTGCAAATGTTAAATTAAATTTGAGTCCTCCAAATCTAAAAATATTATACCTTAAATCTTGCAGTTTGTATAAAATTTTATCTTATAAAGGGTCCGATTGTTTTCTTCAGAACCAGCTCTCAGTTCTTCCACATCTTATATGTTTAACAGTATAAGTAATAGTTATAAGTTGTTGAGTGATGAAGATAAGTTTCTTTATTTTTTTTCCTTGCACAGCTTGCCCTGTTTGCTTTGTTGACATGATACAAAATTCATTGTGAGATAAACATGGGAGATGTGGTGTAGGGCCTTTTTAAAACAGAACTTCAGTGAGGATTTATTTATACTTTGGGGAGCTCATTTAATCCCAAATGAGGTCCAAGAGATGCTAGATTTGGGGCTTTTAATTCTGGGGATTTTTCACTAAGGTGAAAATTCTGAGCACTTCGTCCCTAAACTCTGAGCTCCTTCAGAGAACAGGAAAATTTTGAGGGTACTTAAATATGTTATGTTAGGCTTGGGAATAACTTTAGGCTTAAAGTAAAACTCCCTAAATCTTATGTTCTTCTCATTTATTACAAAGAGTTTGTCCCTTCTGTTGTTAAATGTAGTCTACTTACGGTTTTTTTTTTTGATTTTTAATTGTTGAAAGAGTGGCAAACTACAATCCTGATGTTTAAAGTGAACTAAAAACTGCTAAAACTTATTAAATATTAAGAGCACCAGTTCTTACAAATTTCCTTGATCCCACATCTTGGAGTGCTCTAAGAAAAATAAACTATGGCAATGAACTTCCCACGTATGGGGGAGATTTTGCTCATTTATTTTATAAATTTGGGCTGGCTGTGTGATCAAGACTACATTGTGCCCCAAATACAATGGAGAGGAAATGTAGCCAAAAGATTTTCCTGCAGGGAATGTCATTGCTGTTCCCCATACACCTGTATCTCGGAAACTTTTTGGACATTTTTTTTATACATCCCTCTCCCCAATTTTATTCTTGGCATTTTATAAACATTGTTTCTAGCTCTTTGTCTCATCTCCCTTTTTAGGCTTCTTTTTGTATCCCAAGTCTCCTAATTCTATTCGTGATTTAGTATCTTTTTGGAGTGTAGATAGTCCTGTCTACATATAGTTTAAAGAACAGTTACCTCTTTTTGACTTTAAATTTTTTATGAATGAACTTTCTAAATGTATTCAGTTTAAATGTATTCAGTTTATTTTAATTTAAAGAAGGAAAAAATATCCAAATTTGCCTGTAACAGTCGTGAGCACATTAAGATAATAACTGGTAAAATGTATTAAGACTAGAAAAGTAAAACCACCTAGAAAATTATTTGTTTAAAATATATGTATTTATGTAAATATGTATAAATATTTGCATAAACATGTTAATTATTATTTAATAATTAGTGCAGTGTCAGTTCTCTAGAACATGACATTTTGACTCTGCTGACATTTAGTAAGCACTAGTGCAAAGTTCCATGCAGGCTAGTCTGTATGTTGTGTAGTGATGACAATATTAACAACCTCAATCCCCATCTTGCAAAAAAAACAAAAACAAAAACACACACACAAAAAGATTACTTCCTTCTTTTCAGATTGATTTTGTGGGAGATTTATCTTTTTACTTTCCCATCCCTCCCCAAAATACCTATAGTGCCATAAACTGTTTACATGAAAAAGCAACAAGTGTTTTTGTTTGAAATGCATAAAGGTTTGCAGTATTTTTACTTCACCATCCATCACTCCCCCCCAAAAGTTACAGGGAGAAACAAGACAGTGCCCAGTCAGAATTGTCCTTGAACTCTTTCCATCTTGAGCTTTGTCACCTAAACTGTCTGGTTGTTGTGTTAATAGCGTTTTACGAAATATACATATTTTATTCATTTTCTTTTAATTGCATGTTCTACTTCCTTGGCTCCTGTGAACAAGCATTGCTTCCACCCAATTTGGTATGTGGGTCAGAAGGCACTGTTTCTCACTAGGGCGCTGCTGTTTCCTTTTCCTACTTGAGTAGATTACAGATTATACTGGAATACGCCTGAGAAAAGGTCAGAAAGGAGGGTGAATGTCCTGGAACGGCAGCTGGGAAGTCATTCTCATCCAGAAAAAGGGAGGGGGGAATTAGAAAAAGAGAGAAATAGAGACTCCCATCCCAACCCCAAATATCCCACATTGAGGAAATGCCCATTTGCACAGGGTACTTGTTATATTTTCCGAAAGGGTTTTATTTGGTTTTGATTAAATAATTATCAACTGTTTAGCTGAGAAAGCTTTAATGTTAAATTAGATGGCAAGCAAGAGCTAAGCCATGTTTTTAACTTTTCAGAGCCCAGATTTCCACTGAGTGTTTCAAAAGCAGCTACCACTGTCCTCTTTTTCACAGAGTCAAGAAGTCGGGAGCTTTTCAATGACTTAGTTAAACTTGTTAGTATATTTTGGGTTTTTATCCCAGTCAGTTCCACAGCAATATGTTAAAAGCAGACCAAAACTGTGAAAAGCAAAAAGCACAAGAAAAGCCCCATATGAACCCATAACTGGGGTTTTATGTGGGAAAGATATTTAGGGAATCGATACCATGTAGAGGGCTTACAGTAGGACTGTTGGAAGGAGGACAATAATGGGGTAGCTGGGAGTAGGACTTTTCTTTCAGAAGTGTCTTCTCAGGAGTCTAGGTTGCATATCAACGCTGGCTTTCAGTGGGCCTCATTGATCCAATTTCAAAATGTAGGAATTCAAAATAGTAGCAGCCCATGGGCACTGACTGGAAGGCTTGATTCCTAGAACAGCGGCAGATCTTGTGGATGTGTTGGAAAGGTGATGAGAACAGAATGTGATACCGTTGTCGGCGTCTAATATATAACATGGGAAGGTTGCTACTGTAAATCTTCAGAGCACTGGAGAGCCTAAAGTGTCCATGGTAAGGACACTGCCTGGAATCCTTTTGCTTTTTTACAGATGAGTCTATATTTATATTTATTCACATCCCTAATGACCCCAAAGGGCAATCAATGCTCCTTTATCCTTCAAACATGTCATTTGTTCCATTTTATT